AAATCATTTGACCCCAAATAAAATCTCTTTTCTATAACTCAAAAATCTTGAACCGAACCGAATAGAACCGGTTCCACCTCTAGAGACCAAATGTTTGGGCCTTGGATCTATTTCAGACGCAGTAAATCAAACCGAGGTTTTATTAAATTTTAAACAAATAACTTATCGTTAACATTTGTGAAGCAGAAAACACTTATCGGAGTTGGTGAAATGGAGAAGAAGAGAGGGAAAGCGATCATAGTAGGAGGAAGTATAGCTGGAGTATCGTGCGCACACACGCTCACGTTAGCAGGATGGGATGTATTAGTCCTCGAGAAATCTTCCGAACCACCAGCTCGTAGTCCTACCGGTGCTGGGCTCGGACTCGACCCTCAAGCTCGCCAAATCATCAAATCTTGGCTTCCTCGTCCACACCTCTTCGATCAAATCACCTTGCCTCTCTCAATTGATCAGGTAAACAAATATAAAAACACGATTTTTCTCGGAAAATAGTGAATTTGATTCGACAATTTCAACAATCAAAGTGTTAATCTTCCCGCCCTTCTTGTGTTTTGGGGTTTTATAGAATCAGGAAACAGATAGTGAGAAGAAAGTGACGAGGATTCTAACGAGAGACGAGAATTTCGATTTCGAAGCAGCTTATTGGTCTGATATTCATGGTCTTTTGTATAACGCATTGCCTGAAACCACGTTTCTTTGGGGACATACGTTTCTGTCTTTTACAATGTCTCAAGATAAATCCACTGTAGAGGTTAAGACTTTAGTAATGGAAACTCAAGAAATTGTTGAAGTAGAAGGAGATTTACTTGTTGCAGCAGATGGGTGTTTGTCTATGATTAGGAAAACATTCTTGCCTGACTTTAAATTGAGGTTTGAGATGGAGACTCTGATCTCTACTTTTCGATTTATCTTGTCGAGTGATGGATCGTTAAAGGCTTTTTTTTGTTTGGTTTATGTAGGTACTCTGGTTATTGCGCTTGGAGAGGTGTTTTTGATTTCTCAAGGAATGAGAACTCGGAAATAGTTACCGGACTCAAGAAAGAGTATCCAGATCTTGGGAAATGCTTGTATTTCGATCTCGGTACACAGACTCATAGTGTGTTTTACGAGCTTATAAACAAGAAAATCAACTGGATTTGGTATGTCAATCAACCAGAGCCTGAGCTGAAAGTAAGAAGACTAATCCTATCTCTTTTCTTTCTATTAGAACGCATTTCGAGTACTTTTCTTGATTCTACTTTGTTGTTGTTATGTATTTACCAATATCAGAACAACTCGGTTACACTTAAAGTAAGCCAAGAAATGATGAATAAGATGCATCAAGAAGCAGGCAGCATTTGGATCCCCGAGCTGGCGAGACTGATGAAAGAAACATCCGATCCTTTCCTTAATGTTATCTATGACTGTGACCCTTTAGAACGGATCTTTTGCGGAAATGTCGTATTGGTTGGAGACGCAGCTCATCCCACGACCCCTCATGGCTTAAGAAGCACAAACATGTCGGTTCTTGATGCGGAAGTGCTAGGTAAATGTTTGGAGAAATGGGGACTTGAGAATTTAAATTTGGGTCTTGAGGAATATCAGAGGATAAGACTGCCTGTTGTTTCTGAGCAAGTTTTGTATTCAAGGCGTTTGGGGCGTATCAAGCAAGGTCTAGATCATGACGGAATTCGCGGTGGCAGTTTTGGATTGGAACAGAGAAACATGCCATTCTTTTCTAATGCTCCTCTTGTATAGTGATAATAATTGATGCGAGAGATGTTGTAATATTATCTAGTGATATGTTAAAGAGACAAGGAACATAACATTGGTTACGTCAGTGTATATACTATGAATACTTCGAATAGAAGTTGTATAAAACTGATGGAAAAAATATGGCTTTACATTTACAAACCTTAGCAGGTGCAAATTTTGTTTTTCATTACCAGAAAACGAAAAAAAAATCAGACTGCGTCTGCCGGGAGTCGAACCCGGGTCTATTGCTTGGAAGGCAATTATCCTAACCGTTGGACTACAGACGCTTTTGAGCGTATGTCACAAATAAACGTATTTAATCTAAAGATTCTGTATTGGTGAAATGTCCTTAATTGATATTTTGCAAAGATGACAGTTTTGACACTTTCATTCTTACAACAACGAAAAAAAAGGAAGATATTGAAGTCTCTTGGCAAAATGGTTACTATTTTAGACATCTTTGGACAACGCAACTTGCTTCCACGCGCTTGTGTATTTTGGATAACGCATATTTATCTTTTTCTTTAGCTTAGCTTGAACTAGAATTTTCCTATTATAAAATCCAAGAATGTTTCTACTAATTGAACCAAAGTCACAGGACAATCATTTATCCATATCTACAATGGTTTTGATACCATTTTCTTGATACAATCGGTGGCGGATCCCGGAAAGAGGAAAGTGGATCAATTGACATGAGTAATATTGTTAAATATATTTTAGTACATGTAAAACAATGTAGTTTTTCTAGGAATGATACACCTGAAACCCGAGTTTGAATCTCCTTCCTTATTATAACTAAAATCGCTTTCCTTGGATCACTAAGATTTTTGGGATTTGGCTCTGATACTAATTGTACGATTTGCAAAATTCTTTTGTTAAGAATAAGAAGTATGCTCACCTCTAAGAATAGGCGACACTAGTTCTTAACTTCGGTTTTAAGAGCCGGCGACCGGATAATATCAAATACAAAACAAAAACAAAACAAAAAATTATAATGATAAATCCACAAGTTGGTTATAAATATAGTGGTGAATCCTCAACCACTACACTACCATGACTTGGTTATAAATATGATATACAATATCAAGGGTATATACACATCAAGTTCCCAAAAAAAAAAAAAAAACATATATACACATCCCAAATTCCCAATTAAGCAAGCTCAGCTCTCTAACATGCGTGAATGTATATATAAATAGAATGCATGTGTATATGTGTGGTCATGTAACTACAAATTAAGGGTAAATTCAAGCCTGACAGAAAAATTCCAAAAGCATATATTGCAGAGGGAGAAAATTGAAGAAGATGCCAGAAGAAGATGACGCTTTTGTAGGACCCAAAATCATTTTGTTTATAGTGTAAATCTTCATATTTTTGCCATTATCGATAGTGAATACAACGTTGCTGATGTTGATCCATCCAAGCTCCACAATATTCCTCGTCTAACCAAAGGGACCATCAATACACTATGTAACATGCATATACAAGTAGGTTACTAGTAGCTGATACACTTGTAAAACTTGTATTTTTCTTCCAGATTAGTCATGAGTCTATATATAGACTCTATTTTAACTGTAACTTAGGACCATTTTAATTAACAAAAGAAAGAAAAAAAGTAAGGACCATTCTATTATACCAAGCATGCATAAATAATGAGTCTACATATAGCATTTGTTTGGTTTTTAATTTATATTGCTTAAGAAAACATTTGATTATCAATGGACCAAGGATTTCTAGTTGATGGTGGTTCTTAATTCTATTACTAAATTTTAATGCACACCATGGACTTTGAAAAGCTTGTGTAGTATTGTAAATTTTGAAATTAGATTGAACTTCTATCCAAGAAATATTATCTCATCTTTATTTCAAAAAAAAAAAAAGTAACATCTCTTTGTCTTATGGCTAAGATATGTATATTTGTAACTAGTATTGTTTAATTAGCACAACATGAGTTTTTACTAGGACTAGATATATTCATGCAAAAATATCACTACACTGCTT